TTGGATCAATCAACTGAACTGGAATGTGACAGAATTTTTGATGAAATTCACCGACAAACGATCTAGAAAGATGCGCAGAAAGCACCAGAACACGTGCATGGAGTGATGCAGAATGTGTCGGTAACCTCCCCTGTGAAATTTGTCGGTGAAACAACCGAGACCCGCCAGCCTGGTTTTCCATTCCTTCCGATGATCTAGTGATCTTGTCGCTTGCACGATGGGTGCAAATTGGACTTGGTCGATGATGTGTAAGTGATCGACACCATGAAGATTCCCCCTTGCAGCGTGTGCACGGCATCCTGATAATGAAGGTTATCGATATGTTTGTGGAATCCTTGACGTTACTTCAGATGGTTACAATGCTGATCAACACAAAGAGCGCTAGAAACAGTTCGTTGAAGCAGTTGGGTTTTGATCCTAGACCACCCGAAAATCCAACTGAGGAAATCTATCTCCTCCTTTCTTTGTGGTCGTTGTTGGTGTTAATTTGAGCCGATTTCGATCGATGGCCCAACTGGAACGGCACGGAAATTTGAGCTGCCCGGCTTCCATGGTCTCGACTTAAATTTGCGGAGTGGCTGTAGAAATGGATTTAATAGCACGTCTGCAAGAATATTTCTAGGGATTGCTAGTTTCGTTGCTTCGCTGATCAGGCATGCGGTTCGTCTTCGAGGTCATCTCAGTTTCGTCGAGGAGCGAGAGGCAGCAATGTTGTCATTGCTGCCAGAATGTGCAGCTGGTGATCCCCACTGGAAGCCGAACTAGATCACTAGATCATTTGCGGTACATCAATCTCCCGGGAATGGCAACAATGGAGAAGGTGTTCGGAATCCAAGTCCAATTGCAAGTATCAGAGCACGAGCTGTGTCTGCAACGCACGCAAGGAATCACAGGGACTGATCCCCTTTCTCCAAGAACACCCTGAATTCAGGATGAAAGGTGAAAAACTGAGATTGCTGTGATTTGCATTGGATAATGCCTGAGTATCTTGCGTGCCTGACATTGATCAACGAAGTTTTTGAAAACTACGCTCCATAGAACTATGCTGTTCTGATGATTCCTCCAGTTTCGTTTTGTCGGTGACCACCTCAGTCGTATTTCCCCGGCTGCTGAAGATACTTAACTTCACTGGATGGCCACAAAGCTGTTGATGAAGCCAGTCCCGCATCTAGCCGAGGTGTCCCCAGCACTAAAATCAGACTTTCTTAGCTTGTTGATTGTGATTGCACTTGGACGAATTCAATCCAGATGAAACCTGATTCTAGGATTAACTTGTTACTGGCAGTACACGTGATGAAGTTGCCAAGTTTGACCCATGAGCACAGGCTGAGCTCATCTCCGTGTCAGGATTAGTACAATGTTGGATATTTTCATCGGCACCTGAATTTCCTTGAATTGGAGATGTCAGAGAGGAGGAGGTTAATTTGCTTGAAACTCGAATGTGAAGCTTCGGTTGATCTCAAGTCGTCGTCACCATTTCCCCCTGTGGTAGTTGCTTAGTCCTGCCCTGCAACTCTTGGAGTGACAGTTTTTCCAAAATAACCTAGCTCAAGGTTCTTCATGAGCAAGGTCGTGATCGATGTCTCATCCGAGTGACGTAGAATTCAAGTGGAATCTGGGAGAGCGGCTGGCATTAGTGCAGATGTTACAATGAGAACTTTGCAGATCGAACACCGAAACTATACAGAGAGTGTGAACAAGCTCACGTGACGACCTAGGCCTTGAAAAGTGGTGAGAGTGCGCACTTGCAGAACTCTCCTCCATAAGCGTCCATTGTATTCGGGTGATAACTCAACAAGGTCGTTTTCCTACAATCAGACATGAAAATCAATGGTTTGATGTTTGCAACCTGTTGCACCAAATCTCGTACAGTTTACGTACAATAACGAGTCCATTTTCTGGAATAGAATTCTGCGCGAAAGGCTGCTAAGTGTCGCAGAGTTCGAACAACGGTTCTTATGCTTGTCTTACGCTTCCGAAGGAGGCATCCACTTTGACCTGGACTGTTCGCAACGCAATTAACAATTTGGATTTCGCCTTCTCGTGTGGGTGAAGGAATTCCCTACAACATCAACTTCGTCTCTCCAACTACTCCTTGGGATCTGTAATCGAGGCATTCTCTTTAAATGGGAACCAACATTACTGTGGCTGTGACAGCTGCGAAGGTTAGGCTCCGATCGCTGGTGAATGGATTAAGGTGGAGCATTAACCCCATCGCAGCATAGGTGGTATGAACTCAGGCTCTGATTGCGTTCTAGTCTGGGCAAGGTGCAGCAGTGTACAAGCACGTAATAACCTGACCCATGTAGTGCTCGGCGGCTCTAGTTCCTGGTCATCTCAGCCTGAATTTCTCAAGATCATCGGCCGAAACGAGTGGCAGGGGATCGATAATCGTCGTTATAATTAACATGAAACTGAACATCTTCTAGACTGTGCACCACGATTGAAATCAGGGATTGGCGGTGGAAGTAGCCAAGAACGCCATCGAACCGCATGCAACGTCCAGCAACGGAGTTTCCCTCCGTCATCGCCACAAACTTGGTATCAAATGTAGTTTCCAGTGGACTCGAATCTCCCCCTTCAGAAACTCAACGACGCAATCGACACACTCTGATGTGGTCCATCACCACCTTTTTGAACAATCACGATTAGCTCAGATCTCAGCTTCTTCGTGATGCATCTGCTTCCATCATGGCACTTATCTCATGGTTGTGCATGCATGTGGTAAGCTAGTGCAGAAGCTAACATGTGCAACGGCGGTGAAGCTCCACGCCCACAACAATTTGTTGCAGTTCTCACTGAGCATGCCAATGCTGGCCGCCGTGCTCCTGGGAGTTTGTGGGATCTGCGGAGGCAACAGATTCACACAAAAGAGTGGATATGTTCCATAAGCACTGCTCTCCCATTTTCCAACTTGCTGATGCATGTAAGCTTTGTGTGTGACAAGAACTTCAGTGAACTTGGTGTTATGTTTCTGCAGCTTTTGAATGAGTGTGTGTGTTTGTGTGCGGAGGTGGTGGAGGTGTTTCATTTTGTATCAAAATACTGAACTTGCAGGTTTAAGACTCAATACAAGTGCATGTTGGGAGTTTATTTAAGTATTGTTTTTTCTCTTTCGTTAAATAAATGAAAGTTTGCAAGTGTAAACACATTCATCTTTGTATGGAGAGTTTCTAACCTTCAAAACAAAAATATTTAGAAGAGATTATATAATGCAGATGTATTTAATGTAATAAATGTTTTAGAATAAAGTAAGGTCTATTATAAAACATTTAACTTACATTTTAGAGGAAAAAAATTAGCATTATATATTAATTGTGAATGTAAATTTACCTACAACTGATGTTATTTGTAGAAAATTGTTTTCAATGATTCCAACAAGCAACCATTCCTCCTATCACTTGACTATTTGAACCAAATCATCATGTTGTTCTATCCAAAATCTTGAATATACTAGAAAACTAAATTTTTAATAGTTTAAAAATGAATATTATCTAAACACTTTTATTCTAATTTTAAAAAAATATATTTTTTGCACGAATATATATATAATATACTTAACATAGAATAAAAATTGATGAGGTAGATTTATTTTTAACATCAATTATTGGACTTTATCTTTTACCAAATAAATCAATCATATTTTTAAAGCCACTTTTTTATAAAATAAATATTAATTATGGAATATTAGTGATGGTTAGTTTTTACTAGAAAAACAGAAATTTATAGACTCTATACTAAAGCAGATTTATTAGTTGAGTTAAATATAAATATAATAACTTCAAATGAATCTTTAAATTTCTATGTTTTTTTCAATAAATCTTGATCAATTTATAATTTTTTATACTTTATTTTATTGAAATCTTTAATGTATACTCATTTAAATCATTAAGTATTTATAGATCTAATACTATTCATGATATTAAACTGTGGATTATTTTTAAACACTATTGTAATGATATTTATCATATAACTTATTAAATCTCATATTTTAGGTTGAACTCATTAATGCTTTTTTGATAATTTTTTTAAACAAAATAAATCTCTTTCAAATAACAAACATATTAAAGAATCTTTTTTCTTTTGCTATATGTTCTCTTTATACATGTTTAATTTTAAATATTTTATAACTTTATTGTAGAATCAATTCTAATATATATATATATATATATATTCTAATTTATAATGATCCTAAAATATTGGAAGAAGGCGAGTTAAATTTAGTAGTTTAGAATTCGTTCCAAAAAGTTAATAAAAAAAATTAGATCAAAATATTTCAATGATGTTAGACAAAAAGGTGCTAAGGGGTCACTCCTAAAATTTCAAAAAAAGTAAAAGATTAATTGAAAGAAAAAAAAAAGAGAGCACTATTTTTACTTTTTTAATTTTTTCAAAATTAATGAATATTATTTTTATATCGATTTTTTTTTTTGCATTAATTCGTACTTAATCCTTCAAAAATAATTTACAAATCTTAAGTTTAGTATCATCATTGTGCATGATTCTTCTTAAATTTTTAATTTAATCTAATTTTTAAATAATTTCAAATCAAAAAGATGTATTTGTAGATGAAGAATTGTGTAGAAATTCTATCCAGTATTGATTAAGGGTTCAATTACGTGAAGTTTAGAACTATTTATTGCAAACTTAAAATGCTACTCTAATGACGTATTCCCTGAGATAAATTAAATACTATTAACAACAATAATACATATTTATAATATAATAAGAGGTGACTATAATTCAATCTTGTGTGTATTTACTTAACTAATTTCAAACGCAAATGTTTATAATTGTTTTAATATTTGCATCAAACTTTTGTTTTTATTGCTCTCAACCAATGGAATATTATTTATGATTAATTTATTTTAATACCTTTTGTGATTATTACTTGGCAGTTACAACTCCAAAAGTTTTAATGAACAGAGAAATAAAAACTAATAAGATTGGTGTTTGATTTTTTAATTTTTACAGTACTTTTCAAATAGCAAAGCCATGAATGAAATGGAAATATAAATTGGTCATGTTGTCTTTCGAAGCAATTGGATAAACCAGTGGTACATAAGAAGAACGTGAGTAACCTACAAGTAATGCACAAGACACCCACAACTAAGATTGAAGATTGGGACTTCTTCAATACATGAGGACCAAAACTAGACAACGTAAATGGGAACAAGGTTCACAGATCAATGCCTGGAACTCCCATGTCATCCTAAACCGATGCCCAGAATTACCACCTGAATCAACCTAAGCTTCCACCGAACCACACATACCTGGTGAAGTAATCTTGCTGCAGAGGGTGCAGGAAGGGGCCTGAAAAAGATGTAGATTAATTCTAATATTTTTCCACCTGCACAGAATGGTAGACTGAGGGTCGCATTTTCAATCAACCTACAAATCCTCCTCCAAAACTAGAGGTTTGCACAATAACTCCTTGCATCGACAACAATGGAGGGCGTAACAACTAAACCCACCTCGGCAATAGGCAGTTAGAAGACGACCCAGTCCGACCTGTATAAAATATAGTGACAAGGTGCATTGCGATCTCTCACTGGGTATTGCTACCAGCTATCACCGCAAGAGAAGAGATCCAACACGAATCCTAATTAGCGAGGTCAATAAGATAAGACCTGCCTCGCCGCATGATGTTCCAATAGTCCAAGAAATTAACCAAAATAAAAGTTCAATGCCTACATTTCTAGAGGTGATTTCCTCGGATGAATGATCAGTGACTCTCTACAAAGAAATCTAGCAGCCCCTGTTGGTCAAGAATACAATCAAGAAAAAGGCTTTGATCTTAGAATCTATAAAAGCTTTCTGGCCAAAGGTTACACGCTGTCACTGTTCATATGAAATCACCTCTCCAGCTCCTCCTCTTGTTTCTTCTTCTTCAGGTTTTCCACGAGGGCTGTGACCTCACGCTTCTGCTGCTCCATCAGGTAACCCTGTGCTGTTGCAGTGATAATCGACGCGACGAAAAATAACATCATAATCTGAACAACAGTATTCCACAAAAACCCGAACGAGTAACCACCTTTCACGGCCTCTGAAGCGCCGGCATGACCGGACAACTTCTCCCTGGCTGTGCCCACGGCAGCCATTATGCGCGGAGAAAAACTGTTCAAGAGTGGAAGATGATGAATAACCCAAGCTAACCCTGCCTCCAGCGCTTCCAGAACATGAGGATTACATGCCAAAATTACAAATAGCGTCTGAATATGCGTCTTGATCACAGCTTTGCCGATCAAGGTGGCCAGAAAGAACTTCCAGAAAGGTACCAAGAAATGACCACACATTAGCCCTGCTAAGTCAAAGAGAGGATTCGGAACAGAGGCGAAGAGCAGGATCGCGAAGAATCCGAGTTGAGCGAACCTTCGGAGACCCCACACTTTTAGACGGCTATACAGACTTGGATGGCTCTGATCCTCCGGGATAGTCACCAAATCTTCAAGCTCTTTCACTTTCTCTCCTGATAACCTCGCGGCACGTGAGACAAAGTACGGCGGTAGCTCGCCAATGGCAGTACCAATCCCCCACAATACCGCCTCCAATTGCACCTGTAGCAGAACTTTAAGAATTGGAACCACGTAGCTCTCCATACCATCTGTTGGGAGCCGAGGAAACATTGGCTTGCCTAATTCAGAGCATTCCTTATGTTGCCACGAAGAAGGAAAGCCCCACTGTGGAGTGTCGTACTGCATGGCCTTCAAATCCACCCGCCCACATTGGGAAGCTCTCATCGCAAACATGGCAATATGCGGTCCTAAATACAATACAAACGTGTGAAGGCCTGAACCAAGGCCGATCGACGAGGCAACCCCAAGCCCTATCCACCAGACGGCAAACCTGAAGTACGCAATAGCCTCCCTCAAGTAGTACTCGTGAGGTCCGTCAATAAAAGCAAGTACAATTATTAGCGCAACGGTGAGAATCCCGGCGCCAACAACGCGAAGATGATGGCTGAGAACATGGATCCACAAGAGCCTACATTGGTATAATAGAGACAGAACCGCCAGTCTCACGGTTTCAAGTGGCTGGTTTGAGAGAACTAATCTCTCTCGTTGCAGTGTATGTGATCTCTTGAGCTCCACGACCTGAGGCAGCTGCATCACTCTCTCCACATTCTCCACAGAAGTCTCCGGCTGATCTACTATTTCATCCTGTGATTGGTCTGGATTCAGGAGTGGCTCAACCTCTGACTCCACCACCTTGCTATCCTCTATACCATCCACATCATTAGCCACCTTGGTGGAATCTGCCTGGACCTCCATTGATACTCTGCAACACGTAATGAATTAAAATATCCTCTTTCCTAGTGCTGTGAGAATATTTCAACTCATAAAGCAAATCCTGTCCACATCTCGCCAAATTCCCCTCAAGATGCAGATCAGATCGTGTCTTTATATGTACTGTTCTTCCTTCCGAAGAACTCCAAACCCTACCCAGCTTTGCAAAGAGATCTACCTTGTGCTGCAAGGTATACACCTGAAAAAACCAGTAAGAGAACGTAAATGAATCAGTAAAGAGACATAATTCCACAAGTTCCGCATACGATACCCAACATCGCACCTTAAACCTCTCCTTTCAACTCCCAACGCAAGACCGCAATCCCCCAAACCCTACCCAGCTCCCTTCACCATCAACTACAACATGGAATCCCACCCACATGCGGCTCTATTGTATCTCCGCCCACGAGAATACACCCAAATTCTGCAATACACTCAACGGCGTCGCAAAATCTACAAGCAACACTGGAAGAAAAGTCAACCATCACAAAACTTCCCGCAATGCCATAACCCTAATTGACTCCCACAAACGACCATGGACCTCATAGACAGAAAACGTCCACACCAGGTATGCGCCGCACTCCTTAACCTCGAGATCAATGTAGCGGTTCCCACAAGCTCTCTCCCTTACTTCCACTGCCTCCACGTCAACTCCCGCACCCTCAAACCTCAATCTCACTTTTACTTTGCCACGACACCACCAAAATTGGAACCTCTCGCCAATAACCCCCCACCACCTAACCAGAGCCGAAATCCACAAACCCTCGGAACTCATCTCCTCCTATCCCCACTCACCCTCTCCGCCTCCGCACCACAAAACCCACAAGTGCAAAAACAGCTATACTGCATCACCCGACAAGCAAGGCACATTCGGAGTAATAGTACACGCTACGTAAAGCACGCATGCCGAACACACATCAGAAAAAAATACATAGCACACCTTCTTCTCGAGGCAAGAAAACTGTCTTACACTCTAATGTTATAACGAGGGATGGAAACGGGAGCAAGCAACCTCAAGCTCCCCCTCTGATCTCTGTCGCTGAGTCTCTCTATCTCATCATCTCAATCGCTACATCATCTTGGGAGAGTTTGTCAGGATTGATGAGAGAGGAAGAGAGAGAGACGTGAGAGACGGGGGAAGGAGAGGAGGGTAGAGAGGACATGGCACTACGCACATGAGAGATCGGTTTCGAGCTGTTGCTCCAATCATCCCCGTCGTCATGCGCAGCGACGACGTGATTGTGGGTGCGAGTGCGGGTCGAGTGCGGGAGCGCGTATTTCTGCGGTACGATTGTAACGAAGGAGAAAGATGGGGATTGGGAGGGATTGCAAAGCGGGTATAACAATCGGAATGTTACTTCTTAGAAGCATGTCGCATGACGCGGTGGATTTTACTTGCGGTGGACGCTGGCATCCCGCGACGTCGCTGCCACGGCTTCCCACCCGGACAACCAGCGGCAGACGACGACGGACGACGAACGACGCTCTGTTGATGTGGACGTGTGTTCTGATTCGTTCTGTGTCCGTCGTTCGCCGAGTCCGCGTCTTTTACTTTTCCGAAAAGGTAGTGGGTAGCTTCGGAATAGCCCTGAGCAGCCCTATATAAGCAACATGGTTAAGGAATAATAACAATAATAATAATTTAATCTATATTTATTTATTTTTTAAAATCTCTGCTTTTTCTCTTTTCGAATACGAATGGTACCAAAGTACTATTCATAACAACAACAAACAAATATGCAATATTGTTGTCTTAAGTCACCAACACCTTTGGTAATTTTGAAACTATGTCTTATCACTCAAGTTTTCTTTAAGGTTTTATGCCATATTTTATAAAATTATTTAATTAAAATTTCTTCTTTTAAAAAAATGTGCACAAAAAATATCACTATATATATACATGTTTTTCTTCCTATACAATAAATAAATTTGAAAGTCAAACTGGTTTTCTAAAAATAAGAATATAATCATTGTTCTTTAATGTTAAATAAATTATTTAATTCGATATATTGTGACAAAGACTTGTCTTAGTTACCATATATGAAAAGAGTATGAAATTAGTTGAACTTATTATTATTATTATTATTATTATTTAAATATTTTTAGAATAAAGAAAAAAACGAACTAAAATAGATGATTTAAAAATAATGTTTTCTTTTAGGTTAGAAAAAGAATAGTCACAAGACTAGAAACAAAACAACAATCTATTTGCTCCAAAAAAATCAATTGCTAAGACTAAGGTGCCTATTGTCTTAGTCACATTCTAGCTCCTAGCTTTCAAAGATTCGTATACCTATAAAATATCTTAGAAATCCATGGAATTATTTATGAAAAAGGTAAAAAAGTCCTAAGTAATTATAGAGGATTATGAAAGATAATACAAGACTTAAAATGATATTAAAAATATGTAGTCATTAATAAAATATCCTAAATTAATATATAATATTTTAAAATATTTCAAAGATTTTTTAAGATATTGAATAAGTGATTAAATTATTAATAGAATTATATAAATAAAATATATTATAAAATATTTTAGATGATATTTAATATGTTTATATGTCAAACTATATTATTTTATTTGATGTTATTTAAATTTAATATTAAAGATACAATATGTAACTTATTAATATGAAATTATGTGATTTCATTGAAGCTTATTATTTTCATGTAATTAAGATAAAAATTCATTAGATTATATAATTACATTATGGTTTATAGAATAATTTTTTTTAAAAATTAATCAACTCATAGTAGTTTCAAAAAATAAAGTTTATAATGTTCTTATAAAAATCAATATTAATGAAATCATAAAAGATAAATTAAAATAAATATCAATTTTCATTGTTACGATACCTAATAATTAATGTGATGGTAACATTCAAAAAAAGAACTTAATGATTGTTTCTAAAGTATTTTTGGTCAAATAAAAAATTTGAAATTTTAGATTTTTTTAATGAATTATTACTTATCATATATATATATATATATATATATATATATATATATATAAAATAAATATTCTATAAAAATTATATATAAATATATATATATATTTAAAAATTAAAATTAATAATTATTTCTAAAGTATTTTTGGTCAAATAGAAAATTTGAAATTTTAGATTTTTAAATTAATTATTATTATATATATATATAAAATAAATATTCCATAAAAATTATATATATATATTTAAATAATTAAAATTAAAATAAGAGACTAAATGGTGTTACCACTAAATAACAATACACATTTCATATTTGATTAATGAATTTAACAAATCTAGTTTGAATACTATAAACATTTGTAAGAATAGACACCTTTTATTGTTTAAAGTTCATAATAATTTAAGTATTAATTCTGATTAAAAAAATATTTTTTATTTTATTCAATTGTCATAGTGTTTTCATACTCTTTTGTTGATTGTAAATATGTAAAAATTTGGTTTATTATAAGCATAACTTTAAACCAATTATATATGCTTGATATATGTAATTGTTTGGTTAGAGGATTAATTCATATATCTAAAATTATAAATATTAAGAATAGAATTATTAAATTTATTTATTACAATGTCTATATTTTTTTTTGGATTTAATTATAAATAATAAAACTATGAACAAAATATTATATATTTACTATTTATAATACATGTATACATTTTAATAATTATAATTATTTTTTTATATATACCTTATATACATATTTAATTTAGAATCAATTTATATTGGAAACAAGCTATACACATCTTGGTTTAATTATATATTATTTAAACAATAATAACATCTATTATTAACAACATAAAGATTCAATGTGATGTAATTGATTGAACATGTTATAATAGAACTTGTCTAAAATCATATGTATAGGACCAAAGACCTTGAATTATTTTAAGAAGGTTATAATATTAAACAAGATTGATAAATTAATGTCATTTACAAAAATAAGATGCATAATAATAGAATTTTCTATTTAAGGTTAAAATTAGCATTTAATCTTTTTTGTATAAGCATATCCTACTTCTACACCAAGATTTATTTATATATCTATTGATATTTTATTTATTTTTGCCTTCATCATACTTTGTATAGCCACACAATGCCAAAGAAATAAGAAAAATATACAACCATGATAGATATTGTTTGTGTCCACATAGACTTGTGCAAGTATTTTAAAATGTATCTTCACATCAAGAAGCTTAAATTAAAGAAATGGCTCCAAGACACACTTGATCCATTTGTCAAATAGTCAACCATCTCAAAGAGGCTGAAGTTACATACAAAGGTGCTTAATACTATATTAGATACCAACCAATTAGCCAAATGCTATAAAACAGTGAAATATTTGTTAATAGAAAAGGTACTTGCATAGTAATTTAAGGCAAATCAAGAGTATGTCAATCTCAATAGAGATTTCATTTGCAAAAGTGCAATAATCATTTGGATTGTCTCTATTCAAATTATGATCCATTCTAGTTCTCCAACAAATGACTTAAAGCTTTCATAACCTAACATGATATCAAATACTTCTATAAGTTTTGGATGAACAATTTTGTTGACATGTCTATTCTTGCTGCCATTGTGCCACTCCCTAAAATATCCTTAATAAGTTTAAAAGAAAAGATATCTATAATATCGATGATATTGATATTTATTACTAAATATATGTAAGTATTTATATGAGTTACATTCAAGTAATGATGAATATTTTAGTGAGATTAGTAGATTTGCAAACATTTTGTAATATGCAAATAACTTCTTAACTACAAGGCAAGTTGAAAGATGCAAGTAGAATATAGAACAAATCACCATTGTAATTTATACCAATGATGATGGCTCTAACAAACTACCATTTTTGTTTATTAGCAACTTACGATAAACTTGGCTACTTCAAGCATGTTAACTTTTACAATCTTGATTGCAATTACCACAGTAATTCTAAGGCATGAATAATGTAAATCATATTTTTGAAGTGGTTGAAGTGATTTGATTATTGCATAGTAAATCAAAAGGTTTTTTTGATTTTAGGCAACTATAACAAGCATAATTTTTTTCGTATAACTTCTTGCTTAGAGCACCATTACTCTTTAAATCTTTCAAATGTGACATCTAAATTTTAGTCTTGTAGTATTGATATCATTAATAACTTTAAGACATACTACAAGTACTGCTTTAATTGAATGTATGTACAATGTCTTCAAGATAATATCAATAAGCCTAAATAAATCAATATTTTTTAGTAATTTATTATGTAATTATTGCATAGGCTTTTGATATCAAGATAAATAAAATTTACAATTTATTTGTCATTGCAAGATTTTTTCTAAGTTACCTAGCACTATTAAAGTCCTTGAAGATGAATTCTTGGACCTTGAACTTGTCCATGAGTTATAGGAGCATTATTGGTGCTTCTTCCATTCAAATCCAATAGATATTCAAAACCTTATAGACTACCATGTAAAGCATGTCATTGTCTAAATTCCAAATGTTAATGACATTATTGAAAACTATCTTCTAGTTGACAATTTAGTTTAAGAACAAAATATACAAGAGATAGATGACAACTAGGAAGTGCTGAAAGTTACAACGGCAGATACTCTTAAATTATTTTAAGTACTTGAGAGGTTTAATTAAGCATTCAAAATTAATTTGTATAAGACATCAAAGTATATATAATATCAAAATTAGAATCAAATATTTATTGTAATTATATATATAATACATAATAAGGATAAATAAATAAATAAATAAATAAATAAAATAAGGATATATATATATATATATATATTCATACATACAAAAGAAAAGAATTAGTTTAGTAAGTTAAATGATTGTTGAGAGTTAAAGAAATTATATATATATATATATATATATATATATATCTATATGTATATCTATATATATCAAACTTTGGCTAATATATATAATATCATTGTAACACCTTAATATCTTATATTCACAATTGAAACATGAACGTTTTTGTTTTATGTACATTAGCCAAAGTTCAGTACTATAATGATGTGTTTCAATATGTTTTTTTGCAAAATAATTATTTTTTTTAATATTATGAATAAAAGATTTTGGTTTACTATTTCTGCTAAACCAGAGTTCAGAATAAAAATCAAGAAAGTACAAACCTGATGCAAATTGAGAATAAACTTCCTTTAGAGAATATCTTAAATGATTTTTTCTAATTTTGTTCAAATTCTTTTATGCTCGTCAATGGACTTAAATTCCAATCAGCGAAATTTGAGGAAAGACACCAATTGTTTTTTGTTTTTTTTTAATTTTTTTTTGTATGTACAGTGTATATGCATATGAGTGAATAGTAGGACATGAATTTTGGTTGTGTGAGCACTTTTCCCAGGCCCACAAGCCAAAATAACTTGTGCACGACAAGGTGAGCAGCTATTGGCCACAAAGCCTCCATGTCCCACACAATCAGACTCCACCTCCACACTAAACAAGCCCCCCCCCCCCCCCCCCAATACAAGGAACATATATCTATATATATATAGATATATTGTGTTGATTTCACAATCCCATCATGCCTTGTCACATCGTAGGTTGAATTTTCACACATGCATAGCCCTGTAGTTGGGTGAATATTGGTGGGATGAATTATGCATTAAAAAACGCCGCAACAATTGCAGCATGCAGTTGGGTCTTCATGTGCAGATGGGTGTCTCTACACTCTCAGCCAGCTTCCTAGAATTGGTTTCCTCCCTGTCACCAGCAAATTTTCTTTTAAAAAAATATAAACACACTTACACACACAGCAGTGCTGGAGACATTTGGGGGAACGCCATGCCGCCTCGCTTCGATGTTTCCTGCATCCCTTGCACAAGCAGAAAGCACAAAACGATGCACGCAGCACAATCGGTTGGGAGATCACAGACTCCAGCGTCCTCGTTTTCTCCGCCCTTCTTCGTTACCTACTTGACCGATATTGCAGGTAGTGGTGGTGGGAGCATGAGAGCCGAGCCTGGGCTGTGCCCAGAGTGTGACGTTCGTTTGCCATTTTTGGTACTGTGGGTGCATTCTGTTTTGGTATGTGGGTCATGTTGGATTGCATCGTGAGGGGCTCAATGAGAGGGTTTTTAAAGAGGGACTGTAATGGAAGCTCAGAGTTTCAAACTGTGGTAGTGGGAGGGGAGTCCTTGGGGTCAGTTTGGAGGATGGATGCATGTTTTGCGTGGTTTTGTGGGAGCAGGGTTAGTGGTGGAATTCAGGCAAGCAGCAGGAGTTGAAGGAAAGAAAGCCATCGCGGGCGAGATCTCGTTCCGTCTGCTCTGAGCGGTACGCGTGACTTACATATGGGGGTAGAGGTCTAGGATGTTGAGTTGGGTCAGCGGTGTGTGAAGTGCCTCGACTGATTGATTGATTTATTCTTTTGCTGGTGGAGTTTGTGAATTTAATTTGCAAAGGTTGATGGGTCTTTTGAGCAAATTTGGAGGGTTATTTGTGGAGATAATGGGCCAAGTTTGAGTGTATAGTAGGCATTGTAACAGCTTTTCTTTTGCAAGCTGGTTGCAGCACATGATCAGAAAGCATAGTCTGTTATCCCGGGAAATGGCGATGTAGCTAGGATGATGAAGAAATCCATCTGTCGTTGCTTTAACTTAGCCATGACCTAAAGGCAGTGGAGGACCTACTACGTCTATGTGTCTGGAATTGGGTCAACAAGGACTTTTGTTTTGGAGGTTTTGAGCACGCCTCGATTTCATAGGTTTGTATCTTTAAACTCCAGAGCAAGCAGTTTGGTATTGGCTAATTGAGTGTAGTCAAGACTGGAGAGTAAAGAATAAGCACTGCACAACTTACCAGTAAGCACATATTTCCCATCTAAAAATAATCTGCTTATTATCTTAGGTGATCACATGGTGGGTTGACGAAGTACATCTTCATCCGTTTCTCTTAATCTATTCATTTAAAGAATTATCAGAAACTATTGCAATTAGTGGCAGTCATGGCAGAGGACGCTCACTCGTTTACGTGTTTATTAATATGATGTCACAACTTCGCATTTCTAATTCTCCTTGTGTTAATTGTATTTGTCCTGTGCAGTGCAATCCCCGAAGCGATCTAGTGGCAGTGTTACTTTTGTGGATATGATGTCAGAGTGATCAGAATGGTACTCACGTGAATGCCTTCATGTCAAAAACATTTCTCATCTCTACCGCATTTCCTAGATTTTGATAGGATTCCAGATTTAACCAGGACGTTTAGTTATTTTCCTTGTGACCTTGTCCATGTTGTAAATAGACATTGATTATGGGAAGGGGTCCGATCGGCAGGTGCACAACAGGCAAGAGCTAGCACCTGAGGGTAGGAATCACTCGTACGTGCCGCTGTACCGGTCTGGAGGATGGAGTGACCGTGGCATCAGGCAAACTTTGGAAGACGCTCTTATCTGCATAGACGATCTCAATGATCAGCTGCAGTCTCGGGGTGCATTCTATGGGGTGGGTGTGTGATTAACAGCCTTGATGGATGTACGGGATGTTCATTGAAAATTAGTGGTTGTGGCTGGAAATTTTGAGCAAAACATGCGCGATGAAGTCTTGAGTAGTCTATACTGACTTGGCGTTTGGTATATGTTCAAGTGTGGTATATGTTCAACTGCTCAGATAACAAATTATTACGATATATCATTTGTTATCTGAGCAGTTGGGTATTGTATTAATACCACCATCTATTTTATTTGTCAGTGTAATCGAATTCTGATACTTCTTAGCTACACTGCCTCTCAGCTACATGCGACCATGCTCATCTCCTCTTTGCTAAGCATGATAGCTACGAGGACTGGTTGCTTTTAGTTCAATATACGGTGTTGAGAATGCTAGTTTTTGTTGTGTTTTTTCATATATTTTATCTCGTCATGCTGCAATTTTATTTTATTTATTATTGTTTTAAGTAGAAATTGTTTAGATAAGCATGGTGTTGTTTTTCAGGCCTCAGTTTCGTTCCATTTAATCTTCTGATGTACGGCACATGGTGAAGCTTATTTGAGATAAATATAGACCCCTATCCTGATGCATGCTTGATCATTTTGAAACCCTTACCAGCTAACTAAGATCATGTGAATCTGATCTTGAATAAAAATTCTACTAAATTAGATTAAGGTGGTTTTTGAAATTGATCAGAGTTCCTACTTGAAGTGAGGACACCTGAAGGTTGGCCCTAGTCCCAAATTCGGGATCCTATTTTCAAGAGGACAGTGGTTCGTAAATATTGACTCGAAGGAAACGGGGAATTTCAGGAACTTGCTGGTGGCGAATGCAGGCGACTGTCGGGCAGTCTTGTGTCGTAGGGGCAAAACGATACAATTGTTCAGCGATCATACCCCAATTCTGATGGCGAAAAGATGCGCATCGAATTAGCAGGGGGGACTGTAACTAGCGATGGATATGTTAACGGGCAGGTGACAGTCGCTCGCGCCATTGGAGATTGGCACATGCCAGGCGTGAAGGGCTTCAATGACACTTGGCCTGTAATTGCAGAGCCCGAAATCCGGAGTTTAGAACTCTCTGAAGTCGATGAGTTCTTACTTCTGGGATGTGATGGCTTGTGGGATGTGTTTACTAGCAGTGCTGCTGTTGATTTTGCGCGTAGGCAGTTGCGGGAGCACAATTACCCAGAGCGATGCTCTAAAGCACTGATAGAGGAGGCATTGAAGCGAAATGCCCAAGATAATATCACAGTAATCACACTTTGTTTCCAAGCAGAGGCCCCACCAGACGTTACCGTTGTAGAGAGGTCAACCATAAGAAAGTTAATCTTGAAAGTAATCGTTGCAACAGGACCTTGACATTGCCGAAGCTTCGAACGTATATCGCCGAATTGATTGATCCTGGCAGGCATCCCTAGTATTGTTCCGGTGTGCTGTCTGATTCTTTAAGGCTTAACTTTCGTTGATGAAGAGATGAACTGGATGTTTCAACGAAGTCAGGTGGACCTCTCAGCAAGCAGGAGTTTGTCAAGAATAACGAGGATATATTGTAGAGGTGAAGTGCTACACATTGTAGATGGCCAATCAGCTCTAGATCAGAACTTTGGTGTTGCGTCAATGTATATGAAAATGTTTAAATTCTAAGCACTCATTGAGAAACATTTGCGTGCCCTGCCTAGGAATGATACTGGCTGGTACAATTACAACTTTGGAGGTGAATTCTACCTCCTGTTTAAGTCAGGAGAGACTTGCTTCAGCAGATATGATGTTGTCAGTTGCCAGGTCATGACATGGACATCTATTGCACATCAAGTGAGTTCTGAATTTGCGTGCTTGGCTTAATACCAGCGAAAAATCGTGGGAAAATTGTGAATAGTTGGTAGTAAGTCGCCTATACCTCGGTTTACCTAGCAAAGTGCCAGTCAATCTGATGAAGCGGATTCAAACTCATTCAGTGCAAGAGATAATCGTCTTTTATTTCACGTAATTAATGACATTGGAATGGCCACCACATATTCCCGTGAAAAGAAAAGCAATTAAAATATGTATATTACTAGCTCACACGTCTACTACAGAGTTGTCAGATTCCACTCATCCGGAATATGTTGGAACTTTGAACCGTTTCGTAATAACAGTCCTCTTCTGAATGTTGGTGACACAAATGAAGGTGTATTTGCGCTGAAATTTTCGAAGCAAAGTCAAGCTTCGCAAGAAACAACACTGTTTTCAACTACATGAATGAGCAGGTGCTGCGACTAGACAAACGATGAGAGCCCTAAGGACAGTACACATAGTTTCGATCAACTCGGATACCCACAAGTCGACTAAATCTCCAGATCAATGAGCTTCACAGGTAGTCTACAATGGATAAACTTATACCCGCAACAAGTGACACTTCTAGCAACATACTGTAGATCTCCAATAACCAATGCAATCTACTCATGAGCATCATATAAGAGGAAACTATTCACAAGTATGGCATTCCAGAGCCTGTGTGTTGCACCGTAAACACCTCCGTCTGTTTTTTCTTGCTCGAACGACAAGTTATCATTCGGCACTCCGGACAAGAATCTCATTCTTTGAACTCAAACACAACATGGAACTAAAGCTACTCTCAGGATGAAGTTATACATGGAACTAAACCTACTCTCAGCATCTTTAACACTATACACAATGCAGAGACAAGGCATGATGAGAGTACAGCAGCACCGGGATGGCCTAGACTCGTGATTCATGCACTAGCGTCACTATTGAGAATCCTTGTCGAAATGACATGTTGGATCCTCCTCCTTAACTCATAGCTGCTGCAAGTCATCTGTTTCAACCATTAGATCAGCTATCCATTCCGCTGAATCCGGTGCGGCTTGGAGGGCAGCGATGTAAAGGCTCCCTCTACGATGCGGAAGTTGTACTTGGTGTTGGGCTTTTTGGTGTAGAACACCCTGAAGACACAAGGAACACAATGGATCCACATATATGTATTACTGTTGAATAATATTGCTTGAGTTGTATCGAACAAACATTTTTAAAGTTTTTGACAACTAAAACATAAAAATAGTTAGTACTTAACCGCATCAAAAGCTGCCGCAGCTTCGATATCTGTGTCGTAAGTTCCTAGCCATATGGTTCTTTTCCACTTCTGAGATCTTATCTTCACAAGAAACCCCTTGACACCTTCCTGTGTTCAAACTCCTTTGAAGTCATGGTGAGGGCCAACTCTCAATGCAGACATCTTTTCTGGAGCAGCCTATGTTCTCTTTCGCAATGAGGACGACCTGAATGCTACATGGTCGATTGCTAGAATATTCTGATCAACTCGCATCTTCACTCGCCCCTTTGATGCTCTTGGATCCTTGGGAGCCAGGTTTCCTTGAGTAATAGGTTGGTTCGATAACTGGGTCATTGGTGCCACGGAAGTGGCATCTATTTTAGTGTCCAAGGGAACTTTAACCAAATTGATTTTAGAATCTTGTTGATGAATCAACTCCCGATCACAATACGTGCAGTCTGAGTCGTATGTTACCCTGAACCCTGGGCATATGGGATACTGCATTTTAGGTACAAAATCTTGGCCTAGAGGATGCACAAATTGGGCTCTTCGGTCATGGTCTGGCATCCTCAGCGATGGCAAACAACGCACAGTGAAACCACCAGTATCAAAACAGGCGCCTAAAGCTCTCCCAATTCAGCGGCTGATGTGATGAAAATGCTTTTTCTAATTGCTGTTGCTCTTAGAAAACCTCGTCAATAAAATTCTAATCTTCACAATCTCTTTGTTAAGGGAAAACAGAATTACCTGAACCAAATCAAAATTTGATACAGAGCTACTCAATTGAAGCAGCATAGCTTTCAGTGCTTGGCTGAAGCTATATCCTTGATTGTCACTGGTATGTGTGTTTTTGAATTGCCCAACAGCAAAGTGGAGGTGTCGCCTTGTTAGATCAGGTTGTTGTAGGTTTGCAAGTTCTCAAAATTGACACTAACTTATCTGCTCCCTCATTTGCAACACCATCGCAGTTGTTCTAGCTGCACTAATGATTAAGGCAGCAAGATTGTTACATTGCAAGTTTACCAACATAATCTTCTATCGGGAGAATTATTCCATATAGTACACTACTCTCATGTATAGAATACTATCTATTAAATATTGACCTCACACCTGCACAACTCTTAGTGTCACTCTTGTATACACAATATATTATACACAATATATTGTGTGGCATTGATTATATTAATACATATAATATTTCCAACATAGTATCAGAGCTATAGAAATATTTGGTCCCTAAAAAACTATAAGAATAGATGAATATTTCAATCTAAAAAAGAATTGCTGAAATTACAAATAAGCTTGTAATGATAACAATAAAACAATCTATTGTAATAGGAAAGGTTGATGAAAAGCTTGAAGTTCTTTAAACCATGAGAAGCAATTCTAAACTTGAAAATGGCAACAAATAAACCATAAATAAAGGTAAAATTGAATTGATCATGAATAAATTTATAAATAATTTCAATTCAACTTCAAATTAAGAATATAAAAGATGGCACAAAAAGTGGACATCAATCATGTTCCAAAATTTGATAGTTTATATTTTAATATATGAAAATATAGATTAATACTAATTTTCAATATTAAAAAGTTATGGTCCATTGTAAGTGGTGAAGAATGCTTATTAATGGAACAAACAGTAGTTGAAATTGTTGCCAGAATTCCAACTTTACTTACTATAGGAGTAGGACATATAAGCACATGGATAACCAAGGATACCTTGTCTTTAATCATAATTAATAATTGCTTAGTAATAGAAGATTGGCCAACCTCCAAAGATGCTTTTGAAGTTCGCTCATTTTTAGGCCTTGCTAGATACTATCGCCATTTTGTTTGGTGCTTTGCTCACATTGCTGCTTCATTAATAAATCTATTGGAGAAGGGTGGCTCCATTTGAATAGAAACTAGAGCAGCAAAATGCCTTTGATAAGTTGAAGGAGACACTCATTATTGTTCCAATATTACAAAAGTATGATCTTAATCATCTTTGTATGCTTGAAATTGATGCTTTTGACTTTCTTATTAGACAAGTCCTTCAACAAGACTTCCATAGGGACCTTTAACTTGTGGTGTATAAATCACGCAAGCTCAGAAGGATAGAGCACAATTACTCTACACGTGATTGAAAGCAATTAGCGATTGTACATACCACAAAGGTATGGCGACACTTTCTATTGAAAAAACCAATGGTTGTTCAGACTCACTAACGACCCTTGCTATATGATTTGCATCTCAAAAATATGAAATCATCACATCATTGTTGAAAAGAACAGTTGTAACTTTTTGATATCTAACTTGAGTACAAGCAAGGACGACAACATATTATATTAGATAATTTATCATGAACACCAGATTTTAAAGATGAATCAGAAGATAAAATAGAAGTTGCTACCATTAGTAGTATCATTTCCGATCTAATCAAAGAGGTAGAATGGAAGGAAGCTATGCAACAAGTTGCTTATTTTAAGATGGTTAGTAATCAGTTGAAGGTGGATAATATATAATATCAAGAAAATATTCTTAATGATGGCTTATTCTATTTTAAGAAGCAAGTTTGTGTACTGAATAATGTGAAACTTAGGATGCACATACTTTAAGAGGGACATGACATCCTAATATTTAGACATTCGAGATGAGAGAAGACTCTAGAATAGATTTCAAGGATATAATTTTGTGCAAGTTTGGATCTTGATGTTTGAGCCTTTGTATAATCTTGCGATTCATGTCAACGTAATAAAGCATGCAATGCAGCTTGTCTTTGATTACTATAGCCAATTTCTCTACCTACGGTGTCGTGTGGCAATATGACTATATGATGAAAATATAAATGAAAAAGATTTATTAATATTTAGTCATCTTAGATGTTAGAAACAGTGGCCAATTCCAGTGCCAATATTTAGAATCAATTAATATCACCCCACCGGCGTCATCCAACCAAGTACCTTCCATACCAACGGGACAACCAAGATCATTTTCCAACCCTACATGGAACAAGCCTAGTAGGTATATATTGGTGGAGACACCCAATATACATGATGGAGGTACAGAAAGACTACTTCGTCATTTTTGTTGCAGACATGTTGGTCATTATGCCAATGAATGTTCTAATCCCAAAGCCACTGATAATTACGCGCCAGTGTGCAGGAATTGCAAGTATTCGAGGCATACTTATCAGCAATATAATGCTCCATCCAATTTCAATAAACGAGATCAACAGATCCAATGCAAAGGAAAAATTGAGGAGATAAATCAAGGTCCTCAAGATTCTCTGGTAAATCGGGTGGAATGAGTCCGAGCCATTTTTATGAAGAGACGGAAAAAGGAAAAAAGGACCAATTCAATATTCAGGTGAGTCTGATGTGAAGGGCCAATTTGACCCAATTACGGGGACATCTAATCTAGGTCTTGATATGGGCCTCTTACCCAGTATGAGACCTGACTTGGTTGGGCAATCCAATGAGGTCCCGAATATAGAGGCTTCGGTTCTATTTCAAGCTGTTTCGTTCTCTATACCATTTTGGGAGAAACGTCATTTTTGTGGAAAGATCCTCTGAGAGACAAGAATTTCGGAGAAGCACCGTCGGTTGTTCCAATTCGATGTCTAGAGTGGGAGAAAATGGGGACCACACGGAGTTAAAAGAGAGGAGAAGATAAGGAAAGAGACATTTAGAGATTAGGATTTTGGGGTCGAAGAACTAGCTTCAAGC